CAGTTAATTTTTGCATCAAAAAGAAAAAACGTTTCGCGGTTGGAACCACATATAAGGCATTTCGGTCCGGTAGTCGGCTTGACTTATGTGTGTGGGTGTGTCAATTCATCTGCTTATTTCGTAAAGTTGGGCGCCGCGAACTTCTCGAAAAATAAACGTCAGCAAAATCTGTTTTCGGCGAGTTTCCGTAATAAGTATTTATGCTGGGAAAGCAGGTAGTACCAAAATGAACAAGCATTTTACGAGGTCACTGTCCCTTACACTGAAAGTATTGACGAAACGTAAAAAGCCACTGGACAGACAAGTGATTAAAAAAATATAGGAAATCGAAAAAAGAAAACTTTGTAACCTTAATTGTATCTTGAAGCAGGCAACTTTACTGAGACTTATAGTCCATACACATATTTTTCTCTGCAGTCCTCACTGAGTCATGAGCCAATCAGCCAAAAAACTATTTATGATTGACAGGAGCCCGCTTAAGCACACATTTTCCCATCGGTGATCCAGACATGCACATGAAGAATCGCGCATCGCTCACATAATACTTATTAAATTTTTCCACGTGCCAACCTCCTAATCGTTGGCTGGAAATTTTGTAATGTAACACTTGCACGTCGCCTCTGCAAATTATATGCGTTTGATTAGAAAATACTCCCGTAAGTGTCATCAGCATTTACCAGAGACTAATCATACAAAAAGGGTGATCGTCAAATTGTTGTCGGTGAAATCAACAGGGGACTTGAAGGATCATTTTGAAGTAGTTTCCGTCTCCAGCCAACCAGATAGTTTTAAGTAAAGCGCTTTATCGCTTGAACTAGGGGCTCACGTCAAATCAGATAGGCTTACTAGGTCTGCATTTGTATTCGATGCAATCGTGATCAAGCCTGATTTAGCCGGCCTCGATGATGTCACGCGAATTGTACCTCTTCATGTGTGAGGATCTGCTAGGCTCGACCATCCCCTCCTCCGGTGACAGAGACCGAATATCCAAGACCTAAGAACCATTCCCATGTCTTATCAACGACGCCGGGTCGGAATCAGCAACGATTTACCATTAGGCGGACGAGGAAGAGGGCTTCCACACTACCTCTGTAATCTTGAATGGCTCGAGATATCCTCGTGCTCTGGTCATTGCGAGTGCAGACTGCCTGATCTCAGACGAGGCCGGTCGGGGTGCAACTGGGCAATCCCTGTCGCACAGCTGCGAGCAAGCGATAGCCGGAGTGTTATTACGGGGGCTGAAAACTATTCTCGCATGGTCCCGCGGGTCATACGAGTCATGAGCGTTTGTTTTCAGTCCAGTTGATAACCGCCCCACTTAGGTTCACATCCCGGTTAGGCTTGATGGGGAGGTTGATGGCAGTTGAGCCAGAGAGGCTCAGTTAAGCGTTCGTCCTCTTGGTTCGTTACCGTGTAACCGTCCATGGGGGTTTTAGACCGGACACCAAAAGTAGACTCGGCAATGCTTCCATTCGTGACATGTCTTCTCCGAACCGATTGCCATGGACATTTATACATCGTTATTATAATCGTCACCACTTCTTAAAGCCTGTCGGAAGGGTTATGAATGCGCCCCCGTAAAAACGCACTCCTCAAACAAGAATTACCCTGGTAGTAGGATGTTTGCCATTTGTTTTAATGGCCTTATAAATCCAAAAGCATGCACGAAAACGCTCTCCAAAAGCTCTTCTGTTTTCACAAAAAAAATGTTTATTGAATCCCGAGTATTTTTGAATACGAGATACGGCTTTACTTGCGTTTAGAATTTCCCCTGAGGGTGGATTAGAGAGGGAAAACGAAATGTCAGGTGAGCAAAGTTCTTGTTCCAGCGATCGCCTCTACTTCTCAGTTTCCTTACTTCCAGTCGTGCATCGTTAATTTAAGAAAGATCGTGTATTTCTCTACACTGTTAAATAAGGGTACCATGAAAGGCTCATAAGACCAAGTTGTATGCTTCATAAGGACTCCTGATTCCCGCACGTATGCAAAACCGAACAAAAACCAATGGGAATAACCCATGCTAGTCATTATT